ACCGGTGTGGGTTTTCCTGTCGCCCATGTACATCTAGTTGGTTTGGACTTTTAAGAAATGTCAGGAAATTTTTAATAGCTGAACATATCTAGGAAGTTAGAACTGTTGCTCAGGGAAAATGTGGAAATTCCAGTGCTTATTAAAATATTTTTCATTTGTAATTTTGTATATGCTTAAACTGGCAAACTGGTGAAAAAAAATCAATTCACATTTGGAGTTCACATTAGTATTCTTAAAAATCAAGATGCTTATGGAACACCTGAGTGTTTTGTTTCATGGTGTCAGTTTCCTGTATATGGTTTCTATTTTTTAATCTTGAGCCATTTGGAGGATATTTATTTAATGTGCTTATTAAATTTTTATATTTGTACCAGTTGCACAAACTGCCTAGGAATTATTACAACAAAACTCGAAAGACAAGAGTCTTTGGATGGGCATTTTTTTTTCTGTTTCTTTTTTATTGCTTTCAGAAAAGTCTTTTGAAATGGTGACATCTCCATTAGCCAACTGAAAACTTGTTCACCCTTTCACCCTGCTCTACCCCCTTTCCTCTATTCCATACTAGGCAGAAATGCTCTCGTTAGATTGTGCTTTGTTACGAATACTGTGTCTTCCGGAAGACTGTGAAGAGAAAGACCCCGTTACTGCTCTGCAGTTTATGCAGAGTGTCATAGCATTCTGGCTGGGGACGCAGTTCAGTGGTAGAGAATTTGGGTAACATCTGAAGGCGTTGGGTGGGGGCCCCTAGAATCACAAGAGCCCACAGGAGACATTTCTCTCTTCTCTCTAGAGCTGACTTGAAGGTCAGCATATCTGGGATCTCTCTGTCAAAAGGATTACTAGGTATGAACTGAGATGGGGAAAATGCCTCATTACCAACCCTCCTTTTAGGAAGAGTGCTATGATTGAAAAGAACAGTTTAAGAAAGTGAACAGGGTGGTGGTAAGAATTAAAAAAAAAAATCAAGATGCTTAATATATTTCCCTTGGCGTAGGTTAGCCAGACCTTACTGTAGAGCACGGCAGAAACAGATAGTCTTAGGATAGTGACTGGGAGCAGGGCTCTGACCGAAGCCTGCCTTTCTCACTTCTTCCTACAGTTCCTCTGCAATTTAACGTGGAAGAAAACGGGTTTTCTTTAAAGAATGGCAAAAAGCAACTTTTCCACAGCCACCCCCCCTTCTTTCCTTTTTCCTCTTTCATTTTAAGATACTCATTTTTGTTCGGTGTGTATGGGTGTCTGCTTACATGTATGTTTGTCTGGGTACCATGCACATACCTGGTGACCTCAGAGGCCAGAAGAGGACATTGGATCCCTTAGAGCTGGAGTTTCTGGTGGTTGTGAGCCGCCTGATATGTGTGTCAGGAACTTAGCTCTGATCATCTGCAAGTGTCTCAAGCTCTCTTAACCCTGAGGCGTCTCTCCAGTCCCAGATCTATATCTCTTGATCTTTCTTTCCTTTATGGAAACACTTTTTTTTTAGTTTAATGTCTAAGGGATGGCTTTACCTTGTATTTATGCTCTTTGGGACTTATAGGCTAATCAGCTATGGTTTTCTCCTGAAAGAGCTTAGAGACAAAGGTTCCCTCTTGTACTAACTTCATTCCTTACCTCATTTTGTTGTCTACGCTTCATTTTATTTCCTAATTTTCTTTACATATTTCATCATCCCAAACAGCACACATACTTTCAGACCCTTTTTTGGTATTTTTGCCCCCTTGATACCTTAACTTTTCATTTTTTAAAATATTTGCTTATTGATTTTGAGTGGAGAGGGGCTCATGTCACTAGCAAACATGTGGCCGTCAGAGGACAGCTTACAGGACTACCTTGGTCACTGTTTTATTGCTGTGAAGAAATGCTATGAATAAGATAACTTACAGAAGAAAGAGTTAATCGTGGGCTTACAGTTTCAGAAGATGAGTTCATGACCGTAATGGCAGAGAACATAGCAGCAGGCTGACAGGTTAGCCTGGTGCTGGAATACCAGCTGAGAGTTTACACTGAATCCATAAGCATCTCTCTCTCTCTCTCTCTCTCTCTCTCTCTCTCTCTCTCAATCTCTCTCTTTCAGCCCCCAATACCCACATTAGGTGCCTCACAGCAACCTGCAAATACAGCTCCAGGAGATCTGGTACCCTATTCTGGCCTCCTAGGATATCCACACACACATAATCAGACAAATAAATGAATAAAACTTTTAGGAAGTCTTTCACTATGAACCCAAGGATGACCTCAGAGAGAGAGAGAGAGAGAGAAACTAGGACCAGCACAGGCCTTTGAAACCTCAAAAACCATAGGATGACACACCTCCTTCAACCAGACCATGCTCCCTGATCCTTTCCAAACACACTTCCACCACCTGAGGACCAAGGAGTCAAACGTACTAGCCTCTGGGGTCCATCTTCCTTCAAACCATCACAGCTCTCTCCTTCTACCATGTAGCTTCTGGGGACTGAACTGGCTGTCGGTCAGCAAGAGTCTTTCCTGGCTGAGCCGTTCTACTAGCCCTTCACTCTAAAAATATTTACAGAGGTATTTTATACAATCACCTCCTCCTGCTGTTCCTTCCCTGCCTTCCCACTTTCCTTACCAGTAGCTTCATATGAATAACAAAAAAATATTTCAGAACCAATAAAGTAACAATTTTCAGTCTTTTTTTTTTTTTAATAGCTGGTTTCCCACTGTTGTGGCTCTACATAAATTAACAAAGTAACCAAAGAGTATTTTTTTTTTTTTTTTGGATAAAGATTCAAAATATATCTGGTAGCCAGGAACCCTCAATGCTCAACCATATGATAAAGGCCATATGTAGGTAATTAGGTAAGTAACAAAGAATTCCGGTTACATATAGAACCTAAAACCACAAGTGAATGAAACCACACCTAGCTTTAAAAAGAAAAAAAAAAAAGGCTTTTGGGTATACTTTTTATCAAAACTGTTCAATATAATGAGTATGATTCACTTACAATAGGGCTGATAATGAAGTGAGAACGGCCTTGAGCACCTACCTGCATTTCTAGGTGCCTACCAGGCATTCTCAGCAACAAAACCCAGTGAAAATTTAAACCAAACACCTCTGGAAAACTCTGCTCCTGCCCCACTAGTGTTACTCCTGTGGCCTGCCTCAGCCATTAACATGGATGCTCAGGGGTCTGTCTCCCTGTTGGGAAGGCTAGGTTTAGCTGGTCACCTTGCTTAGGTCTGAAATCTGTTCTGAGTCTCTGACCCTAAAGTCATTTCACATTGTATTTCTCCACTATATGATGTGTCCTTTGGTGTGTGTGTGTGTGTGTGTGTGTGTGTGAATTGTATATTGAATGTAAGAGTTTATACTTATATTTTTTCTCTGCGTTTTAAACATTTCTAGCTTTTATAGTGCGTGTGCTAGCACATTAGTCTCTGCTTTCTCTTTATCCATTTCAGGCAGAAGGCTGGCTTCAAACTCAGTATGTGGGGTTAGAAAGCTGGTTCCGTTGTTAAGCACGCTTGCTGCTCTTGTAGGAGACTGGAGTTCAGCCCCAATACCCACATTGGGTACTTCACAGCAACCTGCAAATACAGCTCCAGGAGATCTGGTACCCTATTCTGGCCTCCCAGGATATCCACACACAACATAATCAGACAAATAAATGAAAAAAAAAAAAAAAAAAAACTTTTAGGAAGTCTTTCACTATGAACCCAAGGATGACCTTGAACCTCTGAATCTCCCACCTCAGCTCTCCAGTGCTGAGATTACAGATGTCTGCCACCATGCCCAGTTTTATGTGTTGCTGGCCTTTGAACCCAGCGCTTCACAGGTGCCAGGCAAACAGTCTGCCAGGCAGAGCCACATCTGTAGCCACTGTCCTCACAAATTTCTAGCAGAGTTCATAATTAAACAGGGTTGGAGATGGTCAATGGAGATTACTTCAGTCTGTAATTTTACATGAAATCTAGCTTATTTTTCTTGTCATTCATCTCCTGTACCACACAGCTGATCAGGCCACTACCTACCAGGAAGAAACCAGGTTGGATCCTGGTTATTTATGAAAGAAAGTCTACCCTCCTCCTAGAGGAAGAAGGCGAGTAGCAAGGTTGGAAGATGCTGTCCGTGATCTCTGTTGTGTGGTTCATAGCGCACATGGAAGGGGGAGAGCTGTGTAGTGTTATTTCCTTGGAGTCAGATGGAAGAGTTTAAACTCTGTGCCTATCGTTGTGACTTAGGGTAAATATTTGTCTTACTGTCTTCATACATGGGCTGTCTATAAAAAAGGAACAATAATATTTGCTTTATAGGATAACATGACACCTAGTGTACTTGGGTTCAGTGGGTTGAATAATGAATAGTGGTATTTGATATTTGTGAAATCCCAACACCTTTAACCAGTCTTAGGAGGTCTTCCATTAGTGGGATATTGCTACGCCTTGAAGTGACCCCCAAGTTTCTAATGCTGGAAGCAGAATTTCCAAGGCAACTGTTGAAGGGGCACTTAATAAGCAGAGGCTGAACCGTGATGCAATGACGTTCTTGCAGAGCACATTACTGAGCTCGGCATTTGGTTGTTGCAAACACAGGTCCAGTTCCCTTTGTTCTTGAGCCTTCTTCCTCTTTTGCCCCTTCTGTCTTCCATGACACAAGGTAGCATGAAGGCTTTGCCATTCGGTAGAGCCATGTTTGAGTTTCCTGCTTCCTAAACTGAGACCAGTCTCAGCTATCTCACAGAAGTGGAGATTTCTTGAGAGAGATGACAAGCTGAGACGTGGCCTAACTGGGAGTCTCGAAGACAGTGATAAGAGTGTCCTGTAGCAGGGCTTGGGTACCGTAAGAGAGCGTGGGGTGGGGGAGGGGAGGAGCAGGCAGGAGGGAGGAGGAAGAGCTGAGACTTTTGGAGAGCTAATAGCGGCCATCTTTGTTTCCATAGGCTAGCAGTAATGCAAAGACCCCGCACAACACTCAGAAAATGAAAGCAGCACCTTTATTTTATACATACAAACAGTATAAAATGTTTATTACGTAAGAGCTGTGTTTTGTTTACAATATATTATATTGCTTCCATCCGATGCAAAGACTTCATACATTATATTCCTTATTTCGTTGTGTTTACAATATATTATATTGTTTAAATGCCACTAACACAGTGTAATTATTTTTTTTACTTAGTTCCCCCCTCAAAACTAAACTGTCTAGAGTAACAGTAAGGACTAAATATATTGTGCAGACCTCAAGATAAGGGAGAGCAATTGAAATATTAATTATACAAGTGTCCAAATATTTGACAATACAATTTGAAATACTGTGGTTTAAATACCATTAACTGCCTTATCCACACTCTTGTGATTTATGCATCTTTGCCCAGTTCACCCTCTCTAATGTCCCCAATCCTAATACCACAATGTGTCGTAATTTCGCATATATCTGCCAACTACACACTGAAGAGACAAATTTTTAACCTGATCAACTGACAAAATATAAGATATGTCCCAAGGGACTGGAAGAAAAAAAAAAAAATCTATGCCTTCATGCTCAACGAACGTACTTAGAGAACCTAAAAGGAAGAGTAAATATCAGCCCAGTGATTTATAATGAAGCTAATAAAATTCAGGCCAGTATTCTAAAGTGTAATGAACATCATTCGAACATTCAACACATGAAAGGTTAACAAAGGCTATGAACTTGGTGTAACTTGAACCGTTTCAGATGGCGGAGTTCACCAGATGTAATTGGATTCAGGTGGATCCCTCTGCCCCTCAGCCTTTTTAAGTGAAGGCCTGTGCTGCTCCTGCCTGGCGCCTGCTGGCCTCGGGGCATACATGAGGCTGGCTCCATACCCTGCAAAAATTATTCACAGCTTAAAAGAAAAGAAACTACAAAAAAAAGGCACCTCAGTTTTGTTTTGTTTTTTTCCATTAACCATTCAAATGAAACCAATTTTTTTTTCATCCCTGAGCAAGACCATAGTAGCCACACAAAACTCCCTGGATAAAGACAGGTGACAGGTTCAAGGTCTCTGCCCAACAGAAACCCGTGTGCCTAGCTCCATTAGGTCTGCTTCTCATTGGGTCTGTCACTATATATCTTGGCTGTATAGAACCCCTCTCCCCCTCTCTAAATAGTATTTTGCAGCCTCAAGTGACCTTGAACTCCTGATCTTCCTTCTTTCCCCTCCTTAGAGCTGGGAATGGCAGGTGTGCTCTACCAGGCCAAGTTTATTTGATACTGGGACTCAAACCCAGTTCTTTGTGCGTGCTAGCAAGCACTCTATGGACAAACCATGCCTCCAGCCTCACTATAAACAAGATGGCTCAATGAAGGGGCTGGTCCTATGCTGAGGTCTCCCAAGGTCCTGCTGAGAAGTTGGTCACTTTTTTTTTTCACTGCACTACCAAACCAGCCTCACTTATGTTAAAGCAGTTCAACACAGCAGCTTCCATTCTTCGTATAGATCCCAGGATCAAGTCTATCACACTAGTACACAGGAGTCCTACTGGAATCAGGACCGCTGCTGTGCATGGTAGAGAAGATGCCTCCTGATGCCTGTCAGTAGGATTTGTGAATTTTGCTCAAAGTGCTGCTCTACCCATCTTCCACTCTGCTTCTGAAACTCGAGCCTACTTTCTTTCCTTTCCATTTGGGAACTTCTGGAAGTACTGGGTGAACACTGACTAGTTTTTTTTTTTTTTTGCTTTCCTAGAATGGATCCAAGACAGCAATTACACCTTAAAAAATAAAATAAAATCTGTCTCTGTCTTCCTGTGCATCAGAGTCAATCAAATTCAACATTTTGTGTGTTCCTTGTGGTTTTAAATGCAAGCATGCTGCTAAACGACTATTGAGAACAGAGCCCCCTTGTTGAATGTGTTTCTTTGAATTGTCAGCATGTAGGCTACTAGCACACAGAATGCTCAAAACACCAGCCAACAATGCACTGGGGTAAATCCCCTCCCCTGCTGCCTGGCTTGCCACCCATGAAGGCCAAGCTCTCTGCTGGGGTGGGAGAGCCTGAGCAGAGAGTTGGTCTGTCTCCAAGACCCTCCTCTCCTCTATGACGCCTGGGTGCCTAGGACCTCCCAGTGTGCCACCCCGCTGGGAATCTGATCTTTACCAGAATTCTCTGACTCAGAGCTTCCCCGGCACCTCCCTCTAGTCAAAATAAACCCCATTCTTTCAGCTCGGTTCTCTTAGCTAACGTACAAAACAGCTGGGTGGCCTCTCCTGAACCGGTCTGCAACTGAAAAAGCAACAGGGCACCTTCTTGCGTGCGAAGCCTTGCCGTGAGAGAGGTGCCAACGGCAGATGGACCAGGGCGGTCTACAGCGGAGTGAAACATGGCGGCTGCCTCACTGCTCCGGCACAGGGAGGCAACTTGCTTTCATTTCGGATGGGTGACAGTCCCTTTGGGCCTACCCGGCTGGGCGTGCTCGCTGGGCTGCATGCACTACCCTCGGAAAACTGGTCTAGAAAGGATATTTGAACAAATTTATTCAAATTTGTATTTTATCATTTTAGAGGTGGACAGGATTGAGACAATCGGTTCCTGGGGTGCTGTGGACAGGTGCACAGGAGTGCCGTTCTAGGTGCCAGGGATCTCCGCCATCTTGCTCACTTGGTGACTGTTCCCACTCCCCATCCTGGGCTGTGTTCTCTACAAGGCAGGGTCTTTCCCATCTCTTTGCTTATGTGGCCCCAATGCCTAGACTGGGCACAGGGGAGGGATACCGATCAATGCTTAGTGCTTGGGGCTGATCAAACTTCATTTCATGTATGAAACAGGCCTGTGATTCATCTACATCCCTAGTTCATTTGGGATAGTCAGTAAATCCGAAAGGCACAATTCCATGAGACTCTTTTCCCCAGGAAGGGCTTCTATGAGCCTGTTTTTTCCTTCAAATTGTATCCAGTGCCATTGAAAGGTCACAAAAAAAAAAAATGTCTTGTGTATTACATATAAATTTATAGAGCTTGATTTTTTTTTTTTAAACCAGAGGTCAGCAGATACTGATGTTCACTTAAAATATTAAGGGCAGATTGTAGTAAGGCTCAGGGCATGGGTTGGATCCCCAGCACCATGATATAGATAGATAGATAGATAGATAGATAGATAGATAGATAGATAGATAGATAGATAGATA